AACGTAAGGTTTGATTCCCGTGTTTGGGATACGTAGGCAACTTCATTTTGAAGTCCAGCCATAAACATGCACACATTGTGTATGTCCATGTAATTGGTTTTCATTCCTTTTGAACTTCCACAACCTTTCAGTTTTGAAAACCAATAATGGTTAAAGTTAGTTTTCATTCCTTTTGAACTTCCACAACCTTTCAGTTTTGAAAACCAATTACAACCTTTAAAAGGTTATGGTCCCTATTCCTTCCCCAAGTGGAAAAATAAGAACATTGCCATTTTTCTTTCTAAATCCTCTCAAGGAGAAACATAAGGCACCAAAGGGGAAATGAATAAAAGGCAATAACATAATCAATAACAAAGAGTTCATTGATAATCACGCTTCCGTTTAACCGTTCATCAATGGATTCAGGTATGTCATTTTGTCTTGATTTCTTGATAATACACATGGTACATGATCCAAAGTGTAAGGTTTATGTTCTGAAATTTATGTTAACATGATTAAAATATAAATCACCCATGTGGTTCTAAAAATTATATTCATAATAAATTGCTCTTTTTATTAATAAATTATCAAGTTAATTAACAGTTTTTAATGATCTTAAAAATATGTTTCAATTAATAATTTAGGGGAAATTATCAAAAAGTCCTATTTACCAATTTATTACTCCATCTGGTCCCATGTTCATTCTCTTAGATTGACAAGTCCTGTTTGATATGTTTTGTGAACAATCAAGTCCCGTTTTAAATTTATGTGATGTGTAGGTGGACGGATTTAACCCTATTTTGTTTTTTCTCTACAGGTGTATATATGGGATGTGTGTGTGCATAGATTTTGTGGGATACATTTCCTCATCCACGTTTGGCAATTCGAATCTGTCATTCAAAATCCCCATTACCATCATCGCTGTCTTCACTCTCAGATTATCATCACACTCCACAAGCTCCTCCATGGCCGATCTCAACCTCCTGATCACTAATTCCACGTGATTCGCATCTCCGTTCACCGCCGTCCTCGTCGCCTCCACCACCACCAGCGCCGCCATCCTCGCCTGAACCCTAACCACCTCCCCCTCCAATTCCCTCTCTTCTCCTCCTACCTCCGCCGCCAATCTTTCCAATCTCCTCTTCTGCTCCGTCGATAGATCCAACGTGGTTCACTGGAATGTGGTTCACTGGGAACGTGGTACTTGAGCCTCCAAACCCATTCGTAGATGTTGATTTTGAGTAGATCTACTGCCATTTCGTCGTACAAATTTTACACACACACACACAGAGAAGTAAAAACTTACAGAACGAAAGGGTGGTTGTGTGATGAGGGCTTGGACGGGGTTCGGTTAGGAGGAGAGTAGGTGAGAAAGAGAGAGAGATCACGAAAACAAACAATGGAGTTGGGATTGAGAGTGGGAGTGAACGATTTCGACTCAGAAGATCACCGAAACAGCGATTTACTCTGGCGCCCACGCTCTGCGAGATCGATGAAGCGTTTGAATAGAGTGGATCCGAATGGGGAATTTTCTCGCGAAACAAACACTAATTGGTTTTGCGTGTTGAACTGCTTCAGTTACAGCATTTCTCTCTCTCCCCGGGGGTTGGGAAATGGTGATGTTATTACTCCATCTGTTCCGGCGGATTGTGTTTCGATGTGAACCTTAATCCAGTTTGTGTTTCAATGTGAACCTCACCGAGCGAACCCCACAGTGCACAACCGGAACTGTGGAACCAGGACTGAGATTGATATTGAGAACCAGAACTGTGAATCGCTGAGATTGAGAACCAGAATAGGTGAGCTTGAGAACGAGAATCGGTGGAATCGGTGAGGTTCACGTCGAAACGTCACAAATGGCAATTGGAAAACAAAGGCTCAAACTGATGTAAAGCTGAAACGTGACACAATCCACGTCATGGAAAAAATAAAATGAAAAAAGTGTCAAATTCACGTCACAACCCACGTCAAAGAAAAAGAGTACTATTACCTTTTTTTGAAACGTGAATCTCACACACCCCTTCCCATAAATACATGCGGGTCTACAAACTCAAATTAACACTTTAATGGTAAAATAGTAAACAAACAACCCAAAGGACTAAACGGTTTAAAAGAAAACAATTAGGACCACATGATCTACAAGATGATAAAATAGGATTTACTGGTCAATTTCCCAATAATTTAAGTAATTTTATTACTAAGAGAATAATTATGAATTTTATTTTTTTAATTAATTCTGTTAAATAAAAAATTTTGACAAATGGATATTTATAATTTTTAAATCACAAAAGATAATTTATATTTTAAATAAATCTCAAAAAATATATTTATAATTTATCCTAATATTTATAAATGACCTCAAATTACGAAAAGCGTGTATGTATAGTATAGTAAGGTGTATAAGAAGAAGGGAAGACGTATTTGAATGTAAGCACCGAGTGTGGGAGTGAGTTTTTGGACCAATCTTAACGACCAATGCCAGACCGGTTACCAAACAGTAGTGAGAGAGATACAGGCCACCGCGTTACGTTCGTGAGGCACGTGTGATTTTGACAAAAGGATGAAGCCCACCCCCAATTCATTCATTCCCCACGCTCATGGTCTCGGGCGTCAAACAGCACGCTCGCTATAAGTACTTTACTTTTCTACCCAAAAAATGGATAATAGTTCTAAATTTATTAATAAGTGTATTCACAGTACTTATTAACAAATTTATTAGAAGAAATTAAAAAAAAAAAAAAACTCAAAGTTTGACAATTGTAACAAAATATATTTTGATTTTTTAATTTTCTTAAATTAAATCTTAAATTTTTCATGTGTTTGCAATTTAAATTATCAGTTTATTTTTGTGTAGTAAAACTAACAAAAAAAAAAAAAAGTATATTTCAGTCATTAAACTAAATGTAAGTGTATATAAAATATTTCAAATATTTTTTTTGTTAAATTTAATGACTAAAATACTTTTTTTTCATCAGTTTTACTTATACTCTATTTGGATGGAGGGGTTTGATGAGAAAAGAAAAGAAATAGGGAGTAGGGGTGTGTTGTGCGGTTCAGGCGGTTTGAGAGTAAAATTATAAACCAAATGACGAATTGGCAGATTGAAGAATATTCTTACCCATTATCAAGTTTTTGCGTAATATATAACACCAATTTGTATAATATTTTTCATATATATATATATATATATATAACACAAACTAATTTTACATAATATTTTTCATATATATATATATAACACAAGCTAATTTTACATAATATCTTTCATATATATAACTATTAATTTCAAATAAATTTCATATCTTAATTCTCTAACACTCATTTTTATTTTGATATTTCATTATAGATTAAAAAATATGTATGTATTATCTATAACAGAACAGAGCAGTTTCAAATGTAGATTATAAATTTTAAAATTTAAATCACGGTTAGAGGATAGAGCAGTGCAGATTGATACGGATCGGTACGATTTTTAGTGGATTTGACTGTATTTTACATAGCCCTATTAGAGAGAATCAAATTTCTCATCACTTGTTTTTATGGTTAATAAGGCAAGTAATGGTGAGAAAGACAAATCACACAAATTTTAAGTTCTGTTTCTTACCAAAAGTTGTGAAGTTTAGTGGGAAACCAAAATTACTCTTTTAATCATAATTCATCCAAATAAGTAGGTAAAAAATCATAATCATTTATTTTCTTATATGTCAATACAAATGGAGTATTAACAAAATAGGCTCAAAATTTAGATTGAAAATAAATAAAAAAATTTAGGATTTAAATTAAAAAATTAAAATCAAGATTTATTTTGTTATATTAGTCAAATCCTAAGATCAGCCGGCCCAATAAAATTCCATTAGGTTAGGTCGCAAGTTAAGACCTTCAGATGAAATGATATTGATTATTTTGGAAACTAACTATTAAAATTTATTTTGTTATATTAGTCAAATCCGAAGATCAGCCCAATAAAATTCCATTAGGTTGGGTCGTAAGTTAAGACCTTCAGATGAGATGATATTGATTATTTTGAAAATTAACTATTTTAATTAATTTTTTAATTTTTTATAAGAAAATGTACAAAAAAAAAAGTAAAAAAATAAGTCAACTTTTTAACTATTTTAGATTGTTTAAGTTGTTTTGAGAAATGATTATTTTAATTAATTTTTTTATAAAAAAATGTCAAAAACATAGACAAAATAATTAATAGTGACCTTTCAATTATTTATGTTGTTGCCAAAACAACTAGTAGTGGATAAAAAATGTTAGGAATTCACTCTGACGAATCCATAATTTATAATTTATTTTGAATGTGTTTGTGTAGTGGATGTTAAATTGATGAAGTATGAAATTTATGAGTAAAATAATTTTTTTAAAAAAAGTTGAGTAAAATAAATTTAAATCATTAAAAATATTTTTTTTAAATAAAAAAATATTGTTGAACAGTGGACGGAGGGAGTGGTGCGTAAACGCCGAAACAAAAAAAATAAATAAATAAAGAAAACCTTTTTGTTTAGATGAGTGTGGAGCGTGGACTAGTTGTGAGATGGGTGGGTCTAGTGTCTATAAAAGGAGGGGAAAGACAACGCTGCTCACACAATCTCTTTCCCCTGAAGAGAAAAACATTTGCTATAGCTCTCTCTCTCTCTCTCTCTCTCTCTCTCTCTCTCGGATACACACACACTCTCTCTCTAACTAACAATCCAATTTTAGTATATTTACAGTTCAAATACAGTTGGATTGGATCTTTTTGCCTTTCCAATACCCAATTTATATATTTGGTTTGTTTGCCTTTAGCCGGACTGCACGGCCTCATTCATATTTTGCTTCTTTGATTGAGATTTCTTATAAAGGAGAAGGGTTGCCCTTTTTTTTCCATTTCTCCCAAGAAATTTTCCCCAGAAAAAATCTTAGAAAAAAATGATGTATTTGGCTTCTTCTCGCACGGGCAGGCAGTTCCAACGCTACAATAATAGTGGATGTCGTCTAGTTGTTGGGTGTGTTTCTCTTTCTCTCTTTACATTAATTTCATTTCCTTACCCTGAATTTGGAGGAATTTTCTTGGGAAAATTGAATTGCCAAAATTACCAAATGGGTCTTTCTCAGAGAATCAAATAGTCATTATTCACTTATTTCTTCTACCATTATTTGTTACGAAATTCCCTTTCTTCTTTGTTTGGATTCTGAGAAAACTGATGGGGATGTTGAAACCTAACAGCAATTATTAAATTTTCAAGTCTAATGTTTGTTTTGATCTCAAATTTTAAATTATCGATTTATTTATTAATTTAGTCTTCCAAATTCCAATCTTTGCAGATGCATTCCCTACAGATTTAGAAAAACCAACCAATCACATGGGCCTGGTCATAGGGAGGAATTAGAAGTTCTTCTAATCAGCTCACAGAAGGGTCAAACATTATTGTTCCCAAAGGTATCTTCTTCACTAACCTACCAACAGCCATGTGTTTATGCATTCATTTTTTTGGCTCTGTTGTTGGTGTTTGAATATTTATTATATTTCTTGTCCTGTTTGTTTTGTTCAATTAATTAATATTAATATGGTGTGTGTTTGTTGCAAATTTGCAATTTAATTTTCAGGGTGGTTGGGAAAGTGATGAGTCTGTGGAAGAGGCAGCTTTAAGAGAGTCTTTAGAGGAAGCCGGTGTAGTCGGCATTGTTGAAGTTAGTACCTACCTACCTACCTGCTCAACATTGTTGCATTGTGTTTGTGTGTGTTTCTTGGTTCATGTAGATAAATCTATGCTATTAATATGAATATGTACATACCCTGGTTGGATTGGAGTGAACTACGTTACGCTCATTTCTTTTCAAAACTATCCTCCACACTTGTTTACAATTATCAATTTTGAAGTAATTTCTCTAACTTCCACATGCTTGACAGTGGCTTGCATGGCATTGCATTGTGTGCTGCTAAGAGGCTAACATGCTATAATTTTGTTTTGCAGCGTGAATTGGGCAAATGGAGATTTAAAAGCAAAAGTCAAGGCAAATTTCATGAAGGATACATGTTCCCTTTGTTTGTGGAGGAGGAATTAGATGTTTGGCCAGAGAAAAATGCTCGGCAAAGAATATGGGTATGTTTGATTATGTAATCTTCTCTTTCTTTTTAAACTTAAATGAATTGTTGAAACAAAATTTGTGTAATAGAATGATATCTCTGATCATTGATTGTATATGAATTGTGTTTGTGTAGATGAGGGTTGATGAAGCTAGAGAAGCATGTGCACATTGGTGGATGAAGGAAGCTTTGGATATATTAGTTGGTCGGCTAATTCTTGCGCAACAAAAGGAGGGAGAAAACCGAACACCATGTGCATTAGAATTTTTGATGACAGAAGAGCAGAGAATAGGGATGATGATGGTAGCTCAAAATGGAGAAGAAGAAGTTGATTGTTGTCTTTATTAGTTGGTGGATGGATGGTCAACCAACCCACATCATCAAGTGCGGTTCTTCCTCCCTTATTGTTGGAAGCAAAGCAGCCAAGAGCAGAGAATTAGAAATAGAACTTAGTGAAGATGTACAATTATAACCCCCATTCTTTTATTCATTCAGGTCCTTTCTTTTTTCTTTTATTTTTTAAATCGGCATGATTAAATTTGTATCTTTGGGACTTGTTATTCCCTTGAATTAAGTAAAGAGAGCTTATATAACTAATTGATGCCAAGGTGGACATTGCAAACATCAATTAATATTCAAATTGATTCTTTTTTATTAACTTTTTTGTCCCTACCGCTTTTTCTGTTACAAGTTCCTCTTCGAATCCTGGGTGCGTGCAAACACAGCCATAGGAGTTGGGTGTATTTCGGTCCCCAAAAATAAATTAAAATATTACTCAACTGGCGAGCATGGCAAAGAAGTTCACACTACTGACAAGTATCGAGACATCCATATCCCCTCGAAAATTATTGAATAAAAACAGAGACCAAATGCAAATAATATTCACCCTATCATTGTATGTTCTATACTGTACACTTCGTATATGACACAGGAAGATGATAAAAGAGCAAAGCACAACCTTATTAAAAAAAAAAAAAAAAATCTACTTTACTCACCTCACTAAAGTAGGTGGAAAACTGAATAATAAAAACTAAATCAAGCCCAGATCAAAAAGAATGAACTGAATAGAAACAAACAAAAAACATTAATAAGGAAAACAAAAAAAACCGACTGCTTTTCATGATGCACATCTTACAATTAATGGAGAAGATGAATCGGCCACTCCTGCATGGATTGCTTTCAATAATGCTACGAAGTTGAATAGACCGTTTTCAGAGAACCACTTGAGCTTCCATATCAGAGAGCCCGGAGGAGGTTTTTTCTTTGTTAGGGCTGCAGCTTCCTCAATCATCAATTCCTGTGAAGTAAAAAACACCGAAGTTGCACGTTCAAGAGCCAGGGTTAAGCACCAACTCTCCCTCGTGTCGATGACCTGTAAAAGGTGACTCAAATAATTTCACCTGATTTCGCCGTACGCATTAATTGTGAGATATCCATAATACACAAGTCAGGAAGAAAGGAAATTCAACAGAATATCATATCTATAATAGTCCGCATGCAGGAATATAACCCATGGCAGAGCAGATTTATATAAAATTAGTTAGATAATATGCCTTTTGACTCAAAACGCAATCACTGAAACACAAGAAGTGTCTCACAAATACTAATTCCCAAGAACAGAACAGAATAGCAGCTCTGAAGCAATAAAATCCTCTCAAGTTTGACAGCAAATCATTTCAATAACAAGGAGTATATTCCTAAAACTAGATTTGATCCTGCTTCAGGACTCTTCAAACACCACGTGTACCAATTCCATCCACATCTTCCCAATCAGTTGTCTCCCCCTTACACATATTGAAGCATCGATTCATCTTCCTATCGCATGAGACTCACCTACTGTGATGAGCCATTAGTGTGCCACCTTCATCCCTTTCTCCTTTGACACTTCATCCCACCTTTGCCTTGAGTCATCCATCGAAACCTCAAATCAACTCAGTATGGAACTGCTAACCTGCTTTTTCAATACAGCGTTGAAATGCAACAGCATTATGACCCAAATTGAACTCCTACCTTACCCACTCCAACAGACATCTGCAGAGAATCTTTGAAGAAAATGAGGAATTACAAAGCTCCAGAAGCATCTCTCAAAATAGCTCGGTAAATGCTTGAAGTCTGTTGCATGAAAGCAACAACCCCCACGAGATCAAGCCTCTCTCTCAACTGAAACTCCTCCTTGTCTCCATCTTACCTCTTCTCCCCTCTACTTCTAAAGCCAGACCCCACCCCGTCTTTTCTTTTTTGAACCCTATACCATACTTAGCACTGAACCCCTACATTCAATTTTACTCAAAACAACTAGCCTCAGGAATAAGAACAAACCACACAACCTTTTATCGAACCAGAAATCAAAATCAACTGCAGAAGGTTGAAACAAAGAAAATAAAACCCCCATTCTCGACAGAGTCGACATACCCAAAAAGAAACCTCAAATAACGCCCAAAACAAAGAGAAGCAAAGAACTGAAAAGAATGGCTCCTTAGAGAGGGAGCAAACCAGGGACCCAAAAGCGAAATATAAAACCAAAAAGAGAATGAAAAATGACAAGAATCTGACTTAGAAAGAAGAATACGCTACAAGGTAAGGAAGAAATCACCGAATGGAACCCTACAAATCGAAGATTGAAGCCCAAGAGGGCTCCAATCGAAACCCTAAACAGAAATCATGTGAGGGAAAAAATGAGAACGAATAAATTAGTATGTAATTTTCTTCCTTGCAGTCACAGTTTAAATTTTCAATACCCCAGTAATGAACCTACATTGCCCTTCATAGCAAACAAACAGTCAATCTTGAAAATTAATTATATGAAAAAAGGCAACAATTTCAACTCTTTTTCAGAAGATCTAACATCAATTTATTAAGAGTAAATGGTATCTTACATAGCAAAGTGTATGTGATCTTTCAGCAACAACCAATGGAGACATAATGGTAGATTGCCATCAACTAAACTACAGCAGGAGTTACTATAGCAGTAGGTATGGTCAATGCACCACCTTATATGATATTCATTGATGAAGAAATCAGAAGATGCATAATCACGTCAAATGAGAAAAGCATCCGAATCAAATGATAATTTCTGTTAGCAATCAACATTTGCAAACTTGGTGTATAAAACTAGCTAGTGTTTATTGATGTACGCCATATCTTGGTGTATAAAACTAGCTAGTGTTTATCGATGTACGCCATATCTTGATCAAGAGCTTTCATAATTTAAAAAAATAATAATAAAAAAATTACCATCTCAGATATATCAATGATAGAGCAACAAGAATCAAGTGAGTAATATGGAGAAGCACACGTGTCTTCTGAAAGAAAGCCAAACTGCATCAAGTCTTCAATGCACAAAAGCAGATGCTCTTCAAGCACAAAAAGTGATCTTGAAAACCACAAATCATCTGGCCAATTTTTAAAGAAGTGAGTTCTTAGCTTTACAAAACATTAAGAATCCATTGAACCAAACAAAAAAGTAGCTACAGAACACAAGAGATTCCAATATGCCATTAATAAAATAGAAAAAAAAAAAATTCATTCAAAGTTAGACATGAAAAATTAGGGCTGAAGTACATAGTCAGTTGGTCTCAAGTTGTATCACAAGGAATATAGCTTAACGCCAGCACAATAATTATATTAAGTAAAAAAAGCAAATATTCTGTACTCTCATTACATTAAGGCAGTCATAAGACTTCCTTGTAAGTCTACAAGGCCAAAATATGTAGGGGTCATCCCACCTTATGCACAAATTAATACCATCTATTATCCCATGGTATCCCCCAATCCAATCCATGAATATTGATTGGTGTGCAAGACTACATCTATCACCATGAAAACCTCTGCCTATATATTTCTTCTTTTCATAGCCTTCTAAGCCTTAATATATGGCATTCCAAATGTCTTTATATATTCCTGAGTCTCAAATTGCTTAAATAAGATTATGATTTCTCTGAGTGCTCTTTTTATTTTGTGTTTTAATTGCTGCGAGGACCATAGTCTTTTCTTATTTTTTTCAACAACTTGCGAGGACCATATTCACTTCATAAACAACATTTCAAAAGGATTTTCAAAGACACGTACAAGTCTAATATATAGAAATTTTCACATGCAATGGAAGATTAACAATATACCTTTCATATTGTTGTGCGAAAAATGAACCATTGAATATTGAAACATGTTCATTTTTGAACCTCCACATATATGTTTTTCAAATGATTCAACCTGAACCTGCTCCAAACTGCCATTTAAATTTCCAAAACCCCAGTCCATCATAAAGAATAAACGTAACTTTGCAAAAATACTCAACAATTCTTGAGTTGCTTAACACCAGCATTAGTTTCACATTTCAATGTCAGAAGGAAGAGCTCAGATGGATCACCTTTTCATAGAACAGCTTTGCTTTCTCATATTTGAATCCAAAGAATACAATATACATAGTAATTGCCTTGACTTCTCAATACTTCTGGTAGCAAACAGATATGATGCACACCTTTCAATGTAAACCCTAATACATCCATAGAAGAAGAGATGCATTTTTAGAATAATGTGAAACCTCGGTAGTTGCTAGAGGTAGTTGAACTCACTAACCTCAAAAGCTGAAGTCCCAAACTGACTAAAACCTCAACATCTTCAATTTTGTGGCAACCCATTTGTCTTAAGCTAGTTCCTGCAAAATGCCAATAGATTGAATAATAGTTATTAAGCAACATTGAATAGACAATAAAATGTATGCCTCCTGAAAATAGTTCATACCACAACAAACCTAACCTGACCCATCATTTGCGACATCAATGACTAGCACATACAACTTGCGTTCACTGCTCAGCAATACAGCTACTTCTCTGCATGTGGGCAGAATAGAAATTAAGTCATGGGATTCAGAGAGTTCCCAATCACTTGTGATTTGCTAGAAAGTGACTAGTTCTATAGAAAAATACCACGGGGTCATTAATTGCAATTAAAAAAAATTCAGGAAGATAATTTATTGAAAGACATTATTGGACTATTGAAGAGCACATCATAAAAAGAACTTTGGAATGAAGAGCTGGAAATGGGGTTGTATTTTTGTTGAACGTTAGAACTTTGGAATATAATTTAGTAGTGGGCTGAAAAGGTATGCTTAAATTTATTTTATTAGAAATGCCATGTGATGTGAATGAACAAACAGTATAGGGTAAATCTATTTCATCGAATGCGAAATGAATGCCTTATATTCTGCCACTTGTAACATGAATTCAAGAACAGACTAGAAGGTAATATAAAAAAAGTGGACAATTTTCATTTGAATGTAGCCATTTTAGGCTACATTTGCATGACTACAAATTGGCTATATGGAGTGCTTCAGGTAGACAGAAAATGAGAATTTAATACACACAGGTGGGCAAAAACTTCCATCTGCAATTCAAAAGTCAATAACAGAAGAGTGTCTCAAGAAGTATATACAAAACTCTCCTGCTAAACTTATTATATATAATATCAGATAATGAGGACTAAAAAACACTTACGTTTCTTCATATCCAGACTTCAGCTCAATTATGCAATTGCAGCGCATATACTTCCTACAAGTTTCATGAACTCCTAAATCTGCAACATTGGAATTGAAATAATTCTCAATGAAATCTTCTGCCCTCACAGATGAGGATTGTAACCCAGAAAGGATTCTAACACCATCATTGGCAAGTGAGGTTGTAATTGCAATATCCCATATCTGCTTCTTATCAATTGACTGCTGAACACTGCCACAAAGAATTTGTCTTCGTCGTTCATATTCCATGCTGTCTATACAAACATCCAAATCTCCATTTAACTTTAGTGATGGTTCCATCTTACCATCAGTATTATTATTGAGCTTTGACAGGAAAAGCAGTCTTCTTTTGGGCTTTCTTTTGCAAATTTTCTTCTCCAACCATTCACCCTCTTGGTTCCCACAATGTGCAATTCCATCATCATGCTCACAACTAGGAAAATTATTTTTCCACAATTTGGAAATGTGGTCTGGTTCTGTCAGTTTCAGGACACCAGGGGCTAGTTTAGCATATGAATCTAACAAATATACACCATTTTGTGTTAACTGAGATACCTCATTACCCTTGTCATAATACCTATCCTCAGGATGACAAATAGATGGATGACCACCCCTCTCTGAGAACTCCTCAATCAATGACTGATCACCTACGGGACTGAAGGGCCCAAATTCAGTTAAATCATCTTCACCACAACTCGTATTACTATCAGATGATGCCACTGAATAGGACTCTGCAGACAGTTGCAAAAATTCTTCTTCTAAGTTGTGACGACGATGCAGAATGTCCTCTTGATAATGAGGAGGTGATACTGGGGAGACAGATGGTGCACGCGACTCGAAAATATCATCAATGGTATTAGTAGTAGCAGTGCTGATTTTTGCATCCATCCTTTCACCTTCTGTGACTGCCAAGGCATCAGGATGAGAGTTTCCAGCTCTCACAGATAAACAACCATCATTAGAATAAGATTTCATTTGCTCCTGCTTTATATCCATTCTTCCAACGCCAGGCACAGAATTCCCACTGTTATGCCCCAAGGAGAATTTAGATGCTGCTTCACTAATTTGGCCAAAGTATTGATGCACGTTGAAACCACTCGAAACATCTGCAAAGGAGCTGTCAGATTCTAAAATGTTTGTAGTACTCTCATCTCCTGAAGCTTGAAAAGATTCAGAAACATATCTTGAGCTCTCACCAAGATGCCTATGTTTTGTCTTTTGTAACAAATCATGTTCTTTATTAGGATTTAATATAGTCACATTATATTTAGTACTGTCTGTAAAATTTTCAGAATCCTGATTCAACCAGTCCTTGAACTCCCGCAACCATAGAGCAGAACGTTCCTTTTTCATGAATTCGATCCTGTTCATCAAACCAACAATTTCAGCTTCCCCATCTGAAATTACATTATCCTCTTTGCTTTGAGTCTCGTTCTCACATGACACTGACTCTTGGTCTGAGCCTATGTACAGAGTCTGCTCTTCACTTTCTATACAAGCAAGACGAGAATGCTTCTTCTGAAAAGTATAAGAATAAGATACATTTTATACAACTTCAGTTAAGTGAAATCATAGCATTTCTGACAGCACAGATATTATATAGGGAAAAAAAACAATAAATAGAGAACTTGCCAATTGCTTTCTTGTTCTTTTTTATTTATGATAAGCAACATGAAATTTTGTTAATGACAGAGAAATATAAAAGATCAATCACCTACCCTTTCTGTGTTTATAGATCCCTCCAATTCAGTACCACTTTTCGCTGGAGAATAAAATCCATAGCTAGCAGGCCGTTTCTGCCTGCTTGCAATAATAATTTGCCTCTTCCAAAACTCTCTGGTACAAATTTTCTTCTCATCTAATGTCAACTACAGAGGCCAGAAACGTCCAATATTAACCCCAAAAAAATCAAAATTAATAGTAAAAACTGGAATAACAATTATGTAAATAGTTGTTTAATCAAGATTTGAATCATGAATCGAAATGGTCCTGGTACCGAATTGCAAATCGAATCATGAATCGTAAAGATTTGGTCACTTTTTTTAAATTACATAAAAAAAAATATCTACACACTTAGATATTAAATATATCTAATAAATATAAAATATTTAGACTTAAATCAATAAAATATTATTTTAAATGATGATCTCCTGGTCTGGGTAAGAAGTTAACATGGGTTTCTGTGTTTACCACATCACCTTTTCTCTTTTAGATACTAATTTCTTATCAACCATTTTCAATAAAGAAAGCAAACAAAGACAAAATTTCAATTTTCAAGTAATAATAACGCAACAACAATAACTATGCTTGGTTTGAGTTTTTTAAAAACACTTTTCAAAAAATTCTACTTTCTTGTTTTCCGTATTTTTTTGTTTTTACTGAATTTTTTAATTTTTCGACACACCTAACATAAATACACTTAAAAAGTATATTTTTTGTAAAAAAAATCTTTAAAAAATTCACTAAATACCAAAAAAATATAATAAAAAAAAAAACCAAAATTTAGTACGTTTTTCATATTTTTGTGTATTTATTAATTTTTTAAAATATTTTTTCACAAATATTTTAGTTTTTAGACACATTCAAGTAAGATACAGCTAAAAAAAAAATTAAAAATGCTTAAAATTTTAAAAATATTCACTAAAAAAAACATGAAAAACAAAAAACTCAATTTTCAAAAAACTTAATTCAGAAAACTCAAACCAAACACACTGAATGTTTTAAACTTTTTACAAGGTTAAAAAACCAAAATCTTCAAACTTTTTCAAAAATATCACTTGATGCCTTCAAAAATTAAATTTGTAAATGCAAGTACTTAGATAAAATTGAATATGTAAGCCTAGAATATTGTACAAAGAGAAAGTTCATTTTTTTCCCCCAAAGGTTTGAGTATTTGGTAGTTAATAGGAAGGGAGAAAGTCAAAAGATGGCATATAGTAATCCTAAAGACCTTAAAAAAGTTTTGTGAACCCTTTTCCACAAATAAAAAACCAAAAAAGAAAGCCAAACATCGATTTTAGTGAATCAAATCAATTCACGATTCACCGCTTCGGTTCAATGATTTGCCGATTTACCTACGATTCATAACTATTTGCGATTCACACAACTTGTTGGTATCAATTACCCACTGAATCGAATCGTACGATTCGAATCATGAATTGTACGACTCTAATAACAGAGCCTTTCTCTTTTTTTGATCAGCAATTGTGTACTCAGATAACTATTTTACTTATTATTGTTGTTCTTGTTGTTCCTTTTTTGCAAAAGGAAAATTTAGAGGACAAGATAACTAAATGAATTTACATGCAACAACTTACTTTGTCTGGATCAAGGAAAAAGCTGAATGCTTGTGCCCTGTACCATCGTGCACAACATAATGGATTCCCTTCCAACCACAGATTTTGTAAAGATGGAAGGCCTGAAAGGGTCTCTAGCTCTGAAAAATTGGAAATAACATTGTAGGAAAGATCAAGGCCTTCTAGTGATTTCAGATTCTCAATCCCACGCAATGTAGTTAGAGCATTGTTCCTCAAAACAAGTCTACCAATTTGACAGGATACCTGCATGGGACAAGCTTGATAAATGGGTTCATATCTAATTCGGAATTAGAAACTTCAAGCACAATTCAAAAATATCTGAGGCACACATTAAAAATGCTCTAATCTGAAGATAATGATGATGATTATGTTTAGGAAAACACAGCACTCCAATTAGGTAGAGTACTTTGACTACCTATGGGTTTCATGAGCAAGTTAAATAAATAAAGATAGCATCTTTCAAAAATTCAATGCAAAAAGTAACAACTCACAGCGATAGACAAGAATGAAATCATAGTGGCAATTACTCGTACCTTGCTAAATGATGCAATCGTGCTCAGGTGATTGAACCCAAGGTCCAGGTGCTTCAATCTTGTACACTTCCGGAGATTATCCACCTTTGCAAACTTGTTTCTACTTAAATCAAGGGTTTCAACCACAGGGAGAAGTTGCAAAGACTCATCCATGAGAACCAATCCATTACAAGCGCACGAAACAAATGACAACCGGTTCCACTGTGGGGAGTCTTTAATCTCAGCAATTCTGCTTGCAAATACATGACGTAGTGCATCCTACATTATCCATAAAATATACCTAAGTACTAGAAACGTCCAATATTAACCCCAAAAAAATCAAAATTAATAGTAATGGTATAAAGGCATAAGAATTTGGTATCTAATAGGAGTATCTTGAACCTTATATTCAACCGTCTAAATTTCAATGACTCAATTTTCTACAGTTCCCCTCATTTTCTCAGCAACCAAACATAAAGAAAAACTACAGTTTAAGAAACAAAAACTCACAGTTGAATTGTGACAGATGAGCTTCTCCAAAGTATGTCTCAATTCAAGAAGCCCTCGGGCAGCCGAAGTTGAAAGATCACATCCACGAAGCTCCAGAACCTTCAACCGCCCAAACGGCAACAAAGATAGCCGCGTTGGGTCTCTGGCCGGTGTCGGCAACACCGACACGACCTTCAGAGAGGTGAGGAGCCGCAGAATCCTCCGGAGCTGCTCGAGCGCGCGGTGGTCGCCGAGGTCGGAGACGTAAGCACGGAGATAATCAACCGGAGCTCCGGCGAGGAGTCCCTCGAGCTCGTTGAGCGCTTCAAGTCTAGATTGCACGTAGTGGAGTCCGACGGGGTTCAGCTTCAGAACAAGGGTTCCTTCTATCAAGGCACCCGCTTGCTTCTCCACGAACTTCACCAGAGATTCGAGGTAACGATCTCCAGTCACAACCGCCATTTTTATGGCCAAAATTAATATTTATACCAGAAGAAAAACATGTATCCAGAACATAATTCTGAGAGTAAGAATGAGACAGAAAATTCTTTGGATGTGAATTAGGGTTTTGGTAAGAGAAGTGAGAATTTCAAGAAAAAAATGGGGGTTTTGGGGGGTTTGGAAAGGGAGAAACGGCCATGGCTTCTCTGCAAATGGACAGACAGACAGAGAGACACGTTTTAAGATGGTGGTGAGTGGGCGTTAATAATGATTATGGGTTCTATTGCCAGATTAAAAATGGATTTTTTCAATTGTCGCATACACTAAAGAGGTGAGTGTTTGGTTTGGCAAAAGTGACTTTTCGCTGACAACAGTATGGGAGCATGACAAATAAAATCTAATGATTATGCTACTTACGCCCACCTTGACATTTGAGAGGATGGAATTTATCGTTTATTTTTTATGAAATTACGTGCATTAATTAATTAGTAATATATTAATATTATTGACTTTATTTATTATATAAATTATATATAAATTATAAATATTTTGAAATTGTTAAAATTATTTTATATTATTTATTATTATTAGTATATTATTTAATATATTAATAGATACCTATAATATATAAATTATAAATATTTTGAAATTGTTAAAATTATGTTATATCATTTATTATTATTAGTATATTAGTTAATATATTAATAGATACCTATAATATATATATATTTTTTTTAAAATTTAATTTTTAATAGTATGAGTGTGAGCTGAGGTGTAAAAGAGAAGACGTAACATGGTGACACCTGGCCAAATGCGGAAACTGCGTTGGGACCCAATCCCTCCAACACTACACGTTTCTTCCCCGTGTTGATTACGTACACACGTTTCTTTTTCTTCTTATATTTTGAAAAAATTACAAAAATATATATCTTTATATATTATAGCAAAATAAGTTTTTAATTTGAGGAAAACTTAAAATGTTTTGTGGAAATTGTTTTTTGGAAATGTTTTTTTTTTTTGGTGGACAAATTTAAACTCAAAATTTGAATTGAGTTCTGTTAAAAAAAAAATAGTAATCAAAGTAGTTTATGTTTTACTATTAAATGTAATCTTTTCACAAGGCAAGTGAAAAAGAGAGAGAGAGAAGAGAGATAATAGGAGTGATGTTATTTGTTTAATGACTGGGAAAATGAATTTTTTTTTTTTTTTTTAACAAAACTTTGTTATCCACCTCGGTGACAAAGCCCACGAGACATATTCTTACAATAAATTATCTTTTCCAGTTTTTACTTTAATTTTGTTGGGGTGCATTTATGGCCCAATAATTTTACAAAATTCATTTAAAAGTCGAAACCAACAATTGTGTTTTAACCTCAAATTTTTAGCAATGAATTTAATAAATTACATTTTAATTTAATAATTTTATATTCAATTATATTTTATATTCTGGTTGTGGTTTCCAATTTTCCCTTTCTCTGCAACAGAAACGGTGGTCTCGCCATTGATCAATATCAAGCTCCGTGACTGTCCATCCTCCCTCGGCTCCCACCATCCCAATATGAGAGGTATTTTATTTCTTCAGTTCTTCAATTCTTTGAGGCTTTAGTTTTAGGGCCAATTTTTGAATCAGTCTATATATATGAACTGATTTCCAATTTTCTGGTTGTGGTTTCCAATTTTCCCTTTCTCTGTCTTCAATCGGTTCTTTGTCTGGTTTGTCTGATGTACACAGATTTCTCCACTATGACCACAGTAGTAAATTTGCCTCTTTCTTTTCACAGACACCCACACTCCTCACAACCATCTTTGCTCCTTCCTCCTTAGTGACCCTTTGTCGACATCTTGATCGCAACAATTGTAGCAACCCCATTCCCCATCTCAACCATCACACAGCTACCATCTTAGCCTCATGCAACATTGCGAAGGGTAAACACATTTATTTATATACATGCTTCAGTTTGATCAAGATTTTTAACTGTATTCGCATGATTTTACTTAATCTAACTATTGTTCTCATATAGCAGAAAGCCCTAATTTTTCACACCCTGAAGTTTATGAACAGTTGAGCTCCATATACTTTGTAAATTATTTCTATGTAGAAAAACTAAAAACTGCTTTGAGAAGTACATGACATGGAGGCTGAACTCCAAATTGAGATTGCCAGAGATAATTTCCCTCAATAGTAGTATTATGTAGCCAAGAAAACATTGTAAAATTTCATTATCTTATGCAAGTGATATACGCAGAAGTTATAAGTTGATGTGAGTCATGATCGATAAAGCATCATACACCTATTTTTTTATTTTTTATTTTTTATTTTTTTTATGGAATCTGAACAGTGTTGTGGAATTAAAGGTCTAGCAAGAGTTTGAAAAAATAAATTATAAGAAATCAACAGGGCACTAACCGATCCCTAGGGAAGACTAAAGTTTTTGCTAATTTAAGGGAGATTTCTTTTTCTTTTTCTTTTTTCCTTCAGTTTGTGTATTGGATTTCAAATATTTACTTTTAGATTTGTGGATTATGCTGATTAGGTTATACAACTATTCCTCTTTTGGTCTACAACACATGCTAAAGTGTTTTTAACTTTATCAGGTAAACGTGCTGAAAGTCTAATTTTGTCATGGTTTGATTCTAGGCATGTAATTCTTTATCTTTGTGTGGATGTTATGTTATTTTCTTGAGTAGAGTAATTCATGGTCTTCTTTGTTTTATTTATTTTTTAAAATAAATAAAATTGATTGACTGAACGGGATTGAGCTTAGGTGTTAATATTATATCGTATGGAGTCAAGACACTTTTTCCATTGATGTAGCAGAACTAGGATTTATTGAATTGTTAAGCTCTTTCGACCTTCATATTTGTTGTTTTGAAATTCTTTCCATGTCCTTAATATATTGCTTTTTAGGATGTTAGTTTTGATGCTCATTTTCTTTGGAAAAATTCACATTGATTGAAGTTTGTAATTTTTTTATTTACCAGTGTGAACTTTTCTAGATTGAGGCATGAGCTATAGTTATAAAGGTAAATTCATGATTTAATTATTGAGCTTCGTTAGAGGTTTTATTTAATATGATTTGAATTTTCTGGTTAGGGGATCATGTATATTTTTTGATCTGAATCAAAATATTATATTGTTTTTTTATTTTTATTTTTATCATTTATATTTATTTTTGTATTTTTTAACCTTTATAATTAACAATGTTTCCAACTGGTTTGTTTTCTTGATGGGAACTCAAAGCAACATATTCATCCAAAAATGAATATTAAACACAAGGTAAACTTTAATTGCTTTTTGAATTTAATTATGTGTCGGTTTACAATCTTAAAAAATTCTCATCCCTTATAACGTTGTTTAATCATGTTCCAATTAATAATGCAACTTTTCTTTTCTATGAAATACATGTCTCACATTCCTTTTTTTGGATTTCCATTGAACAATACCCTCAATGGGTTAGAAGAATGTAGGAATAACCGAAACTCTTACATTAGGAAACAATACACATATACTCTCCAGGTTTTGCTTTAAAGTTAATGATTTTGGTGTAAACTATTTTAATTTGTTGGGGTTTGATGGGCTTTGATTTTTGAAATTTGAAATGGATTTGATGGGTTTTATTCGCAAAAATCCGCAAAAAATTCGAAGTCGTTTCGCTTGAGACATCACCCTCGGGAACAAGTTTTCCGGCTTCGGCGCTTTCCGGCATATTCCCGTGAGTTTACTCTCTCTATCTCTCCGAGAAATATTTATAGATATATGAATATATAAACATGTGAATTTGTGAGCAGAAATGGTATGCTCTCTCTGTGTCTCTCTTATTTTGCTTTCTATGGATATCTATGAAAAGCCATGAAATTATTGTTGGATTTTTGTTATCAAAATCAAACCAAATTGAACAAAAGATTCTGCCATGAATACTTTCATCCCATGAATACTTAAACTTCCATCAGATTTTAGATTTGGATTTTAGATTTTTCAAACTTTCCATTGTTTTTTCAATGTGTTGGGTTAGTTTTAGGTTTCTTTATCAGTTCAAATATTTAAAATTTCATCAGACTTTTAAACTTTCATCCCATAAATATGTCGAGTATTCCACCATAAATTGGCCCATAAATCAGTAGTTTCATCATATTTTTATCAACCCATAAATCAGCAGTTTGTACCAAAAAAGTTTGATGGGTTGAGATTTCTTAAATTTGAAATGGATTTGATGGGTTTTATTCACAGAAATCTGTAGAAATTCGAAGTCGTTTCACTTGAGACATCATCCTCGTGAACAAGTTTTCCGGCTTCGGTGCTTTCCGGCACATCCCCGTGAGTTTACTCTCTCTATCTCTCCTAGAAATGTTTATAGATATATGAATCTATAAACATATGAATTTGTGAGCAGAAATGGTATGCTTTCTCTGTGTCTCTCTCTTATTTTGCTTTCTATGGATATCTATGAAAAGCCATGAAATTATTGTTGTATTTTTGTTATCAAAATCAGACCAAATTGAATAAAAGATTCTGCCATGAATACTTTCATCCCATGAATACTTAAACTTCCATCAGATTTTAAATTTTAGATTTTAGATTTTAGATTTTTCAAATTTTCCATTGCTTTTTCAATGTGTTGCGTTAGGTTTTTTTTCAATGTGTTGGGTTAGTCCATCATAAATCAGATTTTTAAGGCAACTAATTATCAAGTATTCCACAAATGGCATTAGATTTTTATCAACCCATAAATCAGTAGTTTGTACCAAAAAAATTCTGTCCTGTTTGGTTGGTGAGAAAGTGTGGGAAATAGTAAAGAAAGTGAAATTTGGGTTTCCTTTGGCTAATAATTGGTTACTATGTTTAGTTGCTCTGAAAGTTAGGATTGTATTTACTTTGAGTCTTATGGGTAGCTTTTTGATAATGAAAAGATTTGGACTCATCAAGGCAACTAACTATTAGAGTGTTGATGATCTTAATTGAATTGGGTTGTTGGACTATTTGTCGATTTGTTCAATTTTTAGGTATTTTTCTTAATTGACTTGGGTTATTTTTAGGTATTTACCTTGTTCTGAAACACACAAGTTTGGTTCAACTTGATGCCATTTTAGTTTATGATATCCTCTTTCTGTAATTTTGATTTTTAGTTTTATTTTGTGGAGAAATTGTATCTCTTTTTTTTATTGTTATTGGATTAAATGGAATTGTATCTCTTTCAACAAGCCTATGTTCTTTTGTCTAATCTTTTGTGATTATTTAGCAGTAAGTATTGAACCCAAGAATTTTAGTTTTAT